CCGTCGACCAAAAATCTACGTGGAGCTGTATTTCTTTTCTTTTCGATTAGTAGGAATAAGGTTGTGTTTGGTTGTAATTAAAGACGCTTATTTTGGTGTTGCGTTGATTTGGAACCGTTGGTACGTATGCTTGATTAATGATCAATGTATTGTTAGTTAATTAATCTGGATTATTACTGTGATTACCTCTTTTGTGGTTTGATTTTATCCTGTTTGGTAATGACAATATTACAAACAAGATTCTAGCTTTTATTTTATTTTGGTTCTTAAAATTGTCAAATGTCTAATTCACTCTACAAACCAACATCAATTATTGATATGTATTCATTGAGAATGGGCGACAAATCAAAAAAGGAATCTTGGTGTTTCAACTCAAGCCTGAAAATTATGATTAATGCTATCTAATATCGATGATGCTTCAACATCAATCTAGGGGCGTGTTCGGTAGAGATTAAAATTGAATTAAAATTGAAAAATCAGTCATTATTGTTGATTTTTATTAGACGAGTAGGACTCAATAACGGCCATATTTTCAATTAAAATTGGATTTTAATTCTGGGCAAACATGCTCTAGATCATCTAATTTAGAAGCGGAGTCGATGTAAAATCTCGTGTTCTTGGTCAATGTCCATTTAAACAAGACTTATCTTCTTTATGCAAAATGATGTACGAGGAGATACGTGAATTTTTCCGAATTTTTTTCTCTAGCAAAATCTTGCTAACCCATAAAAGGAAAAGAGTAGCATGTACTTCTATATTGCAAAGAGATTGATTTTGTGGAGTTGATTGGGATTGAGAAATTTTAGATAGAGAAAGGTGACTTGTAAGTTAGAAGTAGCTATAAATATTTGGCTATGTTTTCTCTATCTCGGAAGTTGAGAGTTTGCTTCGATGGAGTAGTTTAGCCTCATGCACGATGTGGATCGTTGAGTGCGAATAACATGCATAATTCGTCAATTAAAATCGTAAATTTTGACTCTCGAAATTTAACACAAGTTATAAACATATAATAATGAAAAGGACAAATTGTGCTATATCGACCCATTTGATCGTTTGACCAAAAAAAAAAAGTCGAATGTAATTTTCTAAACATATGATCGGTTTAGGATCATGAGATCTTTTTTTATCAGATAGAAAGGATTGTAGCACAAAATGTACTTCTAAGTGATTGCCCATAGATCCTGTATCATTCCTACACAACTCTGTCAT